ATTATCCATCTTTCCTCCCCCAACAGGGACCTTGCTGCCTTTGACAAGTCCCATCATCAAGCCGTATGTACCTACCAAGAGCACAGAGCAAGTATGCACCCCGTGACGGCCATGCTGGTGGGGAAAGATTTAAAAGTGGATTAAGGACCTACCAATTGCTGATTTCAGACATTTCTCTTTTTTAAACATAATTCACGAAGAAATATAAAAGTTCAGCTCATATTGTAACTAAAAATGTTGTTTTCATTTTGGCTTTTTATTGCTTTGTCAGTGATTTTCATAAATAAATCTGAGCACCACCCTTCCCCTACCCCCAACCAGTGGCATGTTCTTCATAAAGTGCATTTTAACAAAATTAAATCTTAATTTTGTGGATGTAAAATTTCTCGTTTGTTACATAATTATTTTTCCCAGCACAATCACAAGAGTGTCAGCATATTATTTACCTGGGATTTTAAGTTCTTTCACTTGAATCTACTGTGTGCCAAAAATTCAAGATGATTAGAGTTTTGCTTTTTAAACAACATGAGCACTCAGTTGGATTTGCTCACCCAGCCACACAGCAGGTGTAGTATAAACGCACTTTCCAAAATGTATAAACTCTATGGGGAATACTCTCCTGTCTGTTCAACCTGATTCATCTCCTTACTGGTGATCAAATATCCTTCACCCACATAGAGCATACAGCGCACAGAAGGAAATAATACAATTATAATATCTATTACGCACACATATAATACATACTGGAAACAATAGAACAACTTGAACCAAATAAGAGAGTAACAAAGCATCCCGAGAGCATAGTACCCCAGGGCGACTCTGGGAAACACAGTTGTATTAAGGATTCTTGATTGTAAGTGACAAAACCTAAAGGATTAGAAGTCAGAAAAGGAAGAGGAGGATTGTTTTAAGGACACCTAATGGGGGGGGGGGGTGTCAAAACCCATGGAAACGCAGAAGAGGACTGAAACCCAGAATTGTCAAGCAAGCAATACTCTCTCTTGTCTCTCATTTCTGCTACCCTACTCTACACCATAGAGTCTGGCTACCCTCCAGCTTTGCTACTGTAAATGGTTCTTATCACATGGGAAGATTGTCTCAATTCCAAATTCTTTTTATTATTATTTTATTATACATAAATTTTTTTGGAGTTTGATTTGCCAACATATAGCACCCAGTGCTCATCCCATCAAGTGCTCCCCTCAGTGCCCGTCACCCAGTCACCCCATTATCCCACCCACCTCCATTATATGGTTTCAATTCCAAATTCTCAGAGGGAAGACTCTGACCCAGCTTGGGTCCACCCCTGGCTAATAAACTTTAGCAAGAGGAATGGTGTCTTAGAGTATAAATGTGGGAAGGGCCGTCATTAAATACACAAAACGAATGCTGATGCAATGACAGAAATCTTAAAATAGAGGCAAACACTCTGAATAGGTATCAAAGAAACCAATTCTTGTCTGTCAATATAATCCTGAGCTTCTCCTTTGCAGTCTTCTATCTTTCTGGACACATCTACACCACAGCAATTCTACTTCTCAAGGCTTGACTCTCACTTGTCTTTCATGGCAGGAAGACCACAGGAGAGAGTTCAGCTCACATCCCTGGTACATAATCAGGTTCTAAGTGATTAGACTGAAGCAAATCCACGGACCCAAATGATGCTTTTGAGGGCTACTCCCGCCCCATAAGCTTTCCCCACACCTCAGGCTAATGTCACATTTCAGTGATCACGGATGAAGGAGCCTGGAAGTGAACTGGGGCCCAGGCAGCGAAGGATGCTATGAAGAAAGTAGAGGGCACTAGAGACACACATCAGCACAGATTTACCTGGGGCCAGCTCAGTGGAGTCCATGTTTATAAACTGCAACTAATAAGTATATGTTGAATATGTTTATGTCAGGCCAGGATATACACATAATTTCTGGGTGAACAAAGATAAGTAATTTCTAAATGTGGCTGAAGAAGAAATACGCTAAAGCAACCTGGGGAAGGGCCACTTAACTCAACCAAAGGGTTTAGGGAATGCCTCCTGGGGAAGAGAAGGCCTACACAGAGTCTTACGAGATAAGAGATCTGGCTAAGCAAAGGAAGTTGGAAGTGTGTTCTAAATGGATATAAAGGTATAGACTTATGGGATCTTTGGATCCTAAATTTGGACAGTGAAAGTGGCTGGCTCTGCTCCACAGTGTTTAGAGCATGAACTTGGAATCTCCAAGCTCACATTGCTGGGAGGTGGTATCATCTGGAGGTTTCTTCCCTCACATGTCTGATGTCTGGCCTGAGATTACGCAAAAGCTGGGCTCAGCCGAGAGACTGAGCACCCTAGTAGTTTGGGTTTTCTCACAGCACAGTGGATATTTGGATTTCTTATTAGTCTTCTGTGTAAGTGCATCCATTACCAGAAAGTAGCACCAGGAAGGCAGAGAATGTATCCTATTTCATTCCCAGCACCTAGCATAGCATCATGCTTGGGATACAACAGGTGTTCAAGAAATATCTGTTAGTTGAGTGAATGGAGAAGGGTAGAAAGTTTAGGTGCTTCACATCTAAGGGCCTTGGTTTTCTCAGAGATGTAAGAGGTAAGATCCTCCTTTGAAAATTAGAGTGAGTGGATGTTAATTGGGGTGAATATTTTAGAAACTTGCTGAGTAGAGAGGGGCAAGTAAAAGGATATCACCATGAGGCGCACCATCACAGAACTTTCTGTGGCCTTCCACCAGGGTGAACACAGAAGTTTATTGTGATAACCCAGGGGTGGAGTTTTACTCTGTGCAAGCATAGGTTTAGGGTTATAAAAGGATTGCAAAGTGCTGGAAAAAAGAGGAGTGGCCCAGGTAAGCAGCTAGGACACCAGCTTCCTAGGAAAGAAAGTGAGGAAGCTGGTGGGAAATGGGGGGAAGGAGGAGCCAACCAGAGGTCAAGTCCAAGGGCAAAAATGACTCAAGTAAGGGGAGAACTGCAAGGCTGGACGGTCGTAGTCATAAGGAGGGGTACTGGAATTTAAGATTTCTTATGTGCATCAAATTCAGGTGGTAGCCAATGAGAAAGCATCTCACCCCAGTGAGAATGGCTAAAATTAACAAGACAGGAAATAAATGTTGGTGAGGATGCGAAGAAACCTTCATGCACTGTTGGTGGGAATGCAAGCTGGTGCAGCCACTCTGGAAAACGGCGTGGAGGTTCCTCAGGAAGTTAAAAATAAACCTTACAACCTGGCAATCGCACTACTGGGGATTTACCCCAAAGATAGTGAAACACCGGAACACCTGCACCCCAGTGTTCATAGCAGCAATGTCCACAATAGCCAAACTGTGGAAGGAGCCACGATGTCCTTCGACAGATTAATGGATAAAGAAGATGTGATCTATACATACAGTGGAATATTACTCAACCATTAGAAAGGACAAATATCCACCATTTGCTTCGATGTGGATGGAACTAGAGGGTATGATGCTGAGTGAAATAAGTCAATCGGAAAAGGACAATCATCATATGGTTTCACTCATATGTGGAATATGAGAAATAGTGAAAGGGATAATAAGGGAGAGGAGGGGAACTGAGGGGAAACAGAGAGGGAGATAAACCATGAGAGACTCCTAACTCTGGGAAACAAACATAGGGTTGCAGAAGGGGAGGAGGGTAGGGCAGGGGGATGGGGTAACTGGGTGACAGGCACTAAGGAGGGCACTTGATGGGATGAGCACTGGATGTTACACTATATGTTGGCAAATTGAATTTAAATAAAATCTATAATAATTAAAATTCAGGTGGAGACAAATTCCAGGGTGTGGTCAGGATATGGGTGACTGAGGTATAAGTTCAGTAAGTCTCAAGGAGGGGTAGCCCTTTTTTGTACATTTCCTAGGAAGCTGTCAGGAAAAGAGAGATTCTGGGTGTTGGTGTTTTCTGTGAACAACTGTGTCTCTATTCCCAACACAAGTGAGTTTTAGTGGAAACACATGTCAAGATATTCCCATTGCAATAACCACATGTCCAGAAACTGGCTTACTACTAAAATACTGCTTAGTTAAAACAGTGCCAACATTTCTTTGATTCCTTTTTCACGCTTTTCAGAGTATCTTAACCTACTGATAACGAATTGGGTGCAGGGAGCGGTTAACTGTATTAAAGATGCTTAACTGGATTAGAGATAGCCATGTCTCAGGATGAAAGAACTTTTTTTTTTATTTATGAAAGAGCATTTAGAAGGCAAAATAGGTATACAGAGCATTCAAGTGCAAATGAGGTAATCACAAACACTTCCAGAACATTTCCAATGCACCGTGTGCTGCACTAAGGGCTTTAGACATATGAACTCACTTTATCCTCCCTAAGGCCCTTTGAAATAGGCACTAGCATTATCTCCAGCTTAGAGATGAAAACAATGAGACCCCCAAAAAGTCAAATTACTCACCCAGAGGTCACATAGTAAATGGCAGAGCCAGGATCTGATGCCAAGAAGATACTGCCAATACAGCAGTGAGGCGGTTTGCCCCCCTTCCCCTTTGAAAGGGAAACAGAGGCTAATTAATAACTTACTTGCTCAGAGCTAATAGAGTGGAGCTGGAGTCCCACCCGAGCCGGCTGAGCTGTTGACCTCCAGGCCGCAGTAGCTCATTCATCGGTGGGTGACCTTTCCTAGTGAGAACCATCCCTGACCTTCGCAGCCTCCCTTTGTGGACAGACAGCTTTAGAAAACCGTAGGGGTGGCAGGCGGCAGTTGCTCAACACATGTTTGCGGAATAAACACAAAAATGAAGATTGCCACACTCCCTGGTGTCACAGTAGGCCAGAAGGTGCCTTTTACAGTTGAGTAATTCCAGATAAAAACAGGAACACGGTGTTTGTAAGCTGCCATCAATGGAGGAGAACACAGAAGCCAGGGGAGGGAGAACTCAGGGACCCCGATGAGAGCCCCCCACCCCCCAGCAAGTGCCCACAGGCACTGGGACCCGCCACCCGGCCGGAGAAGCCAGGCCTCCTGCGAGAGCCGGGCTGCCCGGCTCACCTGCCGCCCACCTGCCCGCGCATCCCCCTCTCCTGCCCCAGCTCGGCTGCGGAAGCCCAAAGGGCCACTGCGCGGCCCTCAATAAATATTTGTCCAATGTGCGGATGAGTAAAGGCAGGGGAAGGGCGTGTCTGAAAGTCCCTCCCGCTCCTCCCGGCGACCCCACCTCGGCGTCACTCCCAGATAAAGCCCGCGCCGCCCGCGCGGGAGCAGCGATGCCCAGGTACACGGCGCACGTGCGCGGCGAGTGGCTGGCGGTGCCCTGCGGGGACGCGGCGCTCACCGTGGGCTGGCTGGGCCGCGAGGCCATCCGGAGGTACATCAAGAACAAGCCGGACAACGGCGGCTTCGCCTCGGCGGACGACGTGCGCTTCCTCGTGCGCCGGTGCAAGGGCCTGGGCCTGCTGGACAGCGAGGACCCGCTCCACGCGGCCCTGGAGGACAACGAGTTCGTGGAAGTGGGTGAGTGGCCGCGCCCCGGGACAGGACGCTCCGCGGCCCTCGCTCGGCCCCCGGCAGGTGCGGCTGGCTGCGGGCTCGCACCTGCACCTGCCGGGCCCAGAGGCCCGCACGCGCCTGGGGGAGGGGAGGACTCCCCCCGCCCCCCCCCCGCCCCCCTTTCCAACAAGGCGACAGTCCAGGAATGGGCTGACCTGCCTAGAGCCGCGCCTCTGGTAGGCAGCAAAGGTTACCTTCGAACCCAAGACGGCCTGTCTGGATCCCTTGGCAGGGAGACAATCATTTTGAAGACCCTTCTGCCCTTCAGAAGCACCTGGAAGCCAGGGGCACAGAGGCCTAAGGCGTTCCGATTAAAACAAAATAAAGCCGGGGCTGGAGCTGGGGCTGGGGGTGGGGGTGGGGGTTAGCTCTTGAACTTCTGTTTAAAACCCCGCCCACCCCAGACACCTGCGTCTGTGCCTTTTGCTCTCCTCCTCAGCAAAGATGCTAAGGGCCCCCCTGAAGTCCTTTCAAAGCAGCCATTTCTCCACACGTGAGAGGGAGTGGAAGAGCCCTTTCTGGGGTACCAGCAATGCCAAGTGCGGTTCTCCCCGCCATCCCTAAGGGAGCCTCTCTTGTATGCTTGTTTCAGTCATAGAAGGCGATGCCATGTCCCCCGACTTCATCCCATCGCAACCAGAAGGAGTGTACCTGTATCCTTTCCTGCGGGCTGGGGGGCTGCCCCGGGGGCTCCTCCGCGGGGAGCGCGGGGAGCGCGGGGAGCGGGCGGCCTGGGGCTGTCTCACACTCCCCGGGGTTTTCCTTTACCAGGCGTCAGGTACAGCAAGTACCGGGAGCCTGAAAAGGTAAGCTGCAAGCCACACTCTTCTGGTAAAGAAAATTAAATCCCCCTCGTTTCAGGAGGGGTAGGGCCAGCCAGATTTATGCGCAAACGGCATCAGGAGGGGCTTTATCCCGCTCTGTGGAGTAGGAAGAGGCATTCTGCTGGCTTCTCGCTTTCTTTACTCAGCGACCTCTTGAGCAAGCGGCCTTTCCCACCAGCACACGAATGTTTCAGAGCAGGGGGAAAATCTCTTCCCCCCACTGTCTTGGCCAAGCAGCCCGGCTGCCCAAGCTCACAGAGGTCCCCTTCTTTTGTGCAGTACATTGCCTTAGATGGGGACAGTCTGACCACAGAGGATCTGGTCAACCTGGGGAAAGGACACTACAAAATAAAGGTACAGGGGAGGGCGGGGAAGGATATCCTCTGGCCTTTTTCACTGCGTATGAAGTTTTCAACGTGCTCTGCTTTGACCAACGTTTTCCTAGCTCACCCCAACTGCTGAAAAGAAGGTGCAAAAATCCAGGGAAGTCATAGAGAGCATCGTGAAAGAAAAAACTGGTATCCTTTTCTCTTTGTCATACAATTCTTGCTATTGAATTTTTTTAAAAATGGTCTGCCTCTAATGGTACAATGTCTGTTTTTATTTTTGTTCTAGTTGTTTATGGTATAACTACAGGTTTTGGGAAATTTGCCAGAACTGTAATTCCTGTCAATAAGCTAGAGTAAGTCTGACCCCCACCCTCCTCAGCAAACACACATTCACATGCCTCCAAGTATCCCCATCTTTGAGATTACTTTCAACAAGAGAAGTAATTAACATTTGCCCCAATTTCCAGATGAGGAGGATGAGGTTCCTGTTCACTTGCATACAAGCTGGCATTGAAAACACAGGCTTGCTGCTTTCTTCCATTGCATGCATCCCACTGCCTTTAGTGTGTCTCTCCAAAGAGTCACCTGTTCTTCCCTTCATTTCCCTAGCTGAGGGGACACGTTCACTGTGAGGTTATCTAAGAGAGGTCTTCCCTTTCTCTTCCAGAGAGCTCCAGGTCAACTTAGTACGTTCACATTCTTCAGGTAAGTCATTTCAAACATTAAGTGACTTATAGCTCTTGTTTGATCTGATGAATAAAGTGCAGCACGGCGTGAGGCATCCTGTAACAGCTGTGAATAGCTGGTGCACTCTAAAAACTAGTGCCAATTCTGCTTCAGGGGAGGAAGGGAAGCACAAGGCACCATGCAAGACCACCTTTCAGCTGAATCAGAAAAGGAATGGTCCAAGTTGGAGGGATGGGGTTGGGGCAGGAGCACGTGTACTGCCATGCCAACAGAGTGGTGTAGTCAGGGAATGAAGTTAAGGCTGGAACTCGGGGAATGAGTTGATCAAGATGAGGTGAGGTGGGAAGGTCTGTCAAGAATCTAGTCTGGATGGTATTCTAAGGGTGTCGGGTTAGGTGGGGCTCACTGAAGCATTCGAGGAAAGAGAAATGAAAAGGCAAAACTGGGCTTTCACATTTCTCTAGAAGATGGGACTTTCAGAAGCAGGACAGTCAGGAAGGAGAGTGGTCCAACTATCTGAGTCAAGAGGAGAAAGGTGGTAGGAGACTGGACTGAAGTGGAGAAAGATTTGAGAGTTGGAGGTGGGAAAGGTTTTGATTTTTCTAGGAGAAGAATATCAGTTCTGTTTCTCAGGTGTCGGGAAACCACTAATCCCTGAAAGATGTCGGATGCTCTTGGCTTTAAGGATCAATGTCTTGGCCAAAGGATACAGTGGCATTTCCCTGGAGACCCTCAAGCGAGTTATCGAAGTATTTAATGGTAATGCCATGGATCTCCAGGCTGACCCTCCATTGAGGCTGGGCATGTACCACAAGTAGATTTGGTTGAAGGCATAGTGAGGAACTAGCAGAGACAAGACGACCGTAAAATGATGGAGATGAATGGAAATGGGCTTGGTGAGAAGGAGGATGGCTGAGGGGGTAAGGGTGGGGGCAGAGATGCTTACTCCTATGTACCTTCAACTCATTCTTCATCACCCTTTGCTTAGTATTTGGCATCTTTATAGAAGTCTGGAACACACTCCTTAAGTCGATCCCTAAGCTCAAAGCTAGAGAGAACCTTTAATTCAGTGATGCCCAGATGTGGTTATAGAAGCTGCAGCCAATCGTCTGAGAAACACAATTCCTTGATGTCCATCCCAAACACCATTTCAGTAGTTCAGTAGTGGACCACTACATTTGTATCTTTGGGGTAAATACCCAGTAATGCAATTGCTGGGTCATAGGGTAGCTCTATTTTCAACTTTTTGAGGACCTTCCATAATGTTTTCCAGAGTGGCTGCACCAACCTGCATTCCCACCAGCAGTGTACAAAGGTTCTTTATATTACTTTTTTAATGTAAATATGTATATGTTTCCAAACATTCTCCACTAGCTTTTTTTTTCTTCAATAGCTTCTAATGGCTACACACACTCTTTGCCCATATGGAAGTCTCTTAATTCATATTTAGATCATTTATAACTTGTTCCTAGGATCAAAGCTGTAATGAACAACAGCTAGTTCCTGATCTTTGAGATGCATTGTTACAATTTCTAAAAATTTCTTGGTCTGATTAGAACATGCATAGTAAGTGCAAAGGGGGTAGAGGACCAAGGAGGAGGAAAAAGTTAAAGGAATAGATAATCCTTTGGGGATGTGAGTTTCAGATCACCTTCCTTCCATGCATCCTGGTCTGGATTATTTCTCTATTGTCAGGGTTTCCCCAACCACCTCCACACAGCAAATCTGAGTATGTCCTGGCTAAAATCTGAATGCTTTCCATTGTCCTTAGGATAAAGTCTAAACTTAAAAAAAATATATTTCCTATGCTGTAACTTTCATCCTCATGACTTACTCATTCCATAACTAGAAAGCCTTTGTCTTCCACTCCCCTTCATCCATTTTTCCTATGCCCCCACCTCTGTCAACCATAATTTTATTCTCCATATTTATGAATCTAATTCTGTTGTTTTTTGTTTTAGATTCCACATACAAATGAAATCACCTGGTATTTATCTCTGTCTGACTTATTTTATTTAGCATAGTATCCACTGGTTCCATCCATGTTGTCACAAATGGCAAGATCTCATTACTTGTTATAGCTGAGCAATAGTTCATTTTATATATATATATATATATATATATATATATATATATATACCACCTCTTATCCATTCATCTATCATTGGACCCTTGGGCTGCTTTCATATCTGGGCTTTTATAAATAATGCTACAGTAAATATAGGGGTGACATGTATCTTTTTTTCAAATTAGTGTTTTCATCTTCTTTACACGTAACTACCCAGTAGTGGAATTACTGAAGCATATGGTATTTCTATTTTTAATCTTTTGAGATTCCATACTGTTTCCCACAGTGGCTGTACCGACTGGCATTCCCACCAACAGTGCACAACATTCCCCTTTCTCGACTTCCTCATCAACACTTGTTGTTTCTTGAGTTGTTTTATTTTAGCCATTTTGCCAGATGTGAGGCAATAGCCAATTGTGGTTTTGATTTACATTTCCCTGATGATTAGTAATGCTGAGCATCTTTTTATATGTCTGTTGGCCTTCTGTATGTCTTCTTTGAAAAAATGTCTATTCAGGTCCTCTGCCCATTTTTTAATTGGATTATTTGGTGTTGAGTTCTTTAAGTTCTTTATATATTTTGGATTCTGACCCCTTATCACACATATCATTTGCAAACATCTCCCATTCAGTAGGTTGTCTTTTCCTTTTGTTGATGACTTCCTTTGTTGTATAAAATATTTTATTTGGGTATAATCCCAATAGTTTATTTTTGCTTTTCCTTCCATTGCCTGAGGAGCCATGTCTACAAAAATGTTGCTAAGGCCAAGATTAGTGATTACTGCTTCTGTTTTCTTCTAGGAGCTTTATGGTTTTGGGTCTTACATTTGTGTCCTTAGTCCATTTTGAGGTAATTTTTATGTATGGTCTGAGAAAGTGGTCTAGGTTTCCCAGCACCTTTTATTGACAAGACTGTTTTCTCCATTGTATATTCTTATGTTCTCTGACATAGATTTATCAACCATTTAGGCATAGGCCATTATTTCTGGGCTCTCTGTTCTGTTCCATTGATCTATATATCTGTTTCTATGCCAGCACCATACTGTTTTGATTACTACAGCTTTGTAGTGTATTTTGAAATCTGAGATTGTGATATCTCCAGCTTGGTTCTTCTTTCTCAAGGTTGCTTTGGCTATTTGGGTTTTTTGTTTTGTTTTTGTGGTTCCATACTCATTTTAGGATTATTTGTTTTAGTTCTGTGGGAAATGCCATTGATATTTTGATAAGAATTGCACTGAACCTGCAGATTGCTTTGAGTAGTATGGGCATTTTAATAAAATTAATTCTTCCACTCCACGAGCACAAAGTGTACCATTTGTTTGTGTTGGCTTCAATTTGTTTCATCCGTGTTTTATAGTTTTCAGAGCACAGGTCTTTACGGTCTAAACTTAAAGTGGCTTAGAAGAACCAACTTTTTGCTACGGGGAAGGTGCTTCTTCCTGCTTTTCCCTTCTTATTCCCCTCTGCCTTTTTTTTTTTTTAATATCGGCTCAGCCAGGTCCCTTAAGCATTAGTTAGGCTTAAGGAATTGTCTTTCCCCAGGTATTTGTGCCATAAAGTGATCCTAGCTCCTACGGGGGGGGGGGGGGTTGGCCTCCCTGGCTGAATGAGGATAGCCAGAAGTAATTGGTGCCTCCTTCTCTCCCAGCCTCCTGCCTGCCCTACGTTCCAGAGAAAGGAACCGTTGGTGCAAGTGGAGACCTTGCTCCACTCTCTCATCTTGCTCTTGGGCTAATTGGAGAAGGGAAGATGTGGTCTCCAAAGAGTGGCTGGGCTGACGCTAAATACGTAAGACTTTAATGACAACTTGCATCCGCAGTAATTTCCCCAGGCTGGACGCCAGCTGCACTGGCATGCTTTATAGCACTGAATCCTTACGGCAGCCTGGGGATGGAGCCACCATTGTCCCTATTTTGTAGATGAACTGGAGCTTACAAGTCAACCTAGGTAAGGCTCTTAGCTTCCATACATTACCCTCAGGCTTCTGGAACTCGGTGGTCACCTTGGAGAAAAGGTACAGTGGCCAGTGTTAACCCCAGCAATTTATTCTTCAGCTAAAACTATACCAGGGCTTATCTAGGAGACCTCACACTGTTGTGGGTTTATTTAGTCTCTGGTCTCACAGGACAGAGCTGTGGATCATAGCACTGACTGTATGGCCTCTGGAAAGCAGGTTCCTTCTGCCTCCCAGCTCCTACCCCAGTGGCTAATCAGAAGGGCTTGTTCATCCATCTCCAGATTCCATCGGAGCAGCCCAAAGAATTATTTGAAGTGTTAGCTCAGATCAATTGCTGAGATCCCTCAGTGAAGGAGCAGAGGACCAAGGAGGAGAAGTTAAGGGAACAGATAATCCTTAGGCAGATATAGGTTCCAGATCACTTTTCTTCTCTAGAACTTGATCTTTATTTCTTGGTGCAGGGTGTTTGCTCAGCCACCTTCCCACAGCAAATTTGAGTGTGCCTGGCTGAAGCCTGTAATGCTTGCTATTGTCCTTAGAATAAAGTCTAAGCTAAGAGTGATTTGTGAGAGTCTTGGTCAAATGCCTCCTCCTAGGTTCTATGTTACAGGAGCTGGAACTTCCTTACAGCTGGAATGTGCTGTGTCTGGGACAGAGGGACCACCCCAGGCTCATTCTTCTCTTCCCCACTCACTCCTGCTCCTCCTGCTCAGAAGTCCTCTGGGAAACTTCCCTCACTGTCCTTCAGGTTCTCCTCCCTGGCCCCTCCTTTGTGCTCTTCCAGCATCTTATCTGCTCATTTGCCTGCAAACCCCACACACTCCCTACTTCCTAGAACAGTTACCATATTCTTAAATCTGTAATTGCCCCTGAACTAGTCTGTCTCAATTTTCCTAGGCCAGCCCTGGTCCAACACCCAGGACAGAGTGGTATGTAACGAGTAAGCTAATAAGCTTGTGAAATGGACATGGTGAATGGTGCTGACTCTGTCTTCCTTCTTCCCTAAAGGGACCTTAATGTAATGACTGTTCCAGTTCTTTTATTTCAGGGGAAGATTATTCTGCCAGTGTTTAGCTAAGTAGGATGAGGGTGGAGGACTTTTTAGGTCAAGCTCTGGAGGCAGAGAATTGTGGACAGTCAGGAACCCAGCCTCAGTACAGTATGAAGTGCCCATATGTGCTCAGAAAGCAGCAGGAGAAAAAGTGAGTCACTAAGGTAGACGTTGAATACAAAGGACCTAGGAACCAACATCCAAGGTTACTTCTGTAAATGCTAGAGCCCCTGATTTAAGTACAAAAATTATGTGAAATGTAAGTCTACGTTTAGACTAAAGAACAGAACTAGAGCATAGACCAGAGTCGATGAACAGAATCAATTCACGTAGGTCTAAGTTTTTATAAAACAGATCTTTAGGCTGAAGGATATTTTACTGATTCCTTATGAAATTGGAAATAGATCAGTATTTCATTGATATCCATTTTTTATCTTTTTAACCATTCTGCAGGTCCTGGAAGCTCATGGATTGAAACCAGTTGTTTTGAAACCAAAAGAGGTAAACAGATCAAGGAAAATTTACTCATTTTAATAAGGATTTATTTGTATATTATTTTCAGTCTTAAGATCAGTCTCTTGGGTTTCTTAAATGTGGCTTTCATGTTTGTTAAAAAGTTTGTCACTGAAGAAAGCACTCCTCCGCAAGCATTTAGAAGATTCTTTATGCCATAGATGCTTAGGGGTTCTCTGACCTAAGAACTTAAACTTCAAATCAGGATCTCTAAGGATCCCTCACAGATGCTAGAAGTCAAGATTCCTCAGAGTGCTCTCAACCAAGAGTCTTGGACCAGAATTTTTATGATATCTCGTCAACACTGATGAGCAGTTAAAGAAAAGCAGCATAATTAGGAGCTATAAAGATTTCATGTGCAGTCTGCACTGGCGGTTCCTGGCTGCCTTGAGAATGGGAATACTTAACAGGTATTCCATTTGCCAGGTTTATACAGCAATTTTGCATAGGATGGAACTTAATCCTCCCATGCTTACATAAGCATTACTGCCCTGCACTTTAGGAAACATAAATAAACACCACTCAGCCGACTGGTCAACTCTCCTCTTATGGAAACAAAAGATATGAAATGAACTTGAACATGGGTTACAATAAATCTAGCAAAGGACTTCCCTCTTCCTTTTCAAAGGGCCTAGCGCTCATCAACGGGACACAGATGATCACGTCCCTGGGCTGTGAAGCCGTGGAGAGAGCCAGTGCTATTGCACGCCAGGCAGACATCGTGGCCGCCCTGACTCTGGAGGTGCTCAAGGGTACTACCAAGGCCTGCGACACTGGTCAGCACAGTTCTTCCACTGGGTTGCTATTCATCAACTGGAGCAGTTTGGGCGGGTGGGTCTAGGTCTTTAGACATGAGAATGGTGGGAGTGGACGGTAGGGGAAGAAGAAAAAACCCAAGTGCCTACAGCAGGTCCAGTATTGCCACATCTTCCTCCGAGTTGTGTCACACTTGATCCTTGCAATACCACATTTTACAGACAGATGCTGACTCTAGAGTTTGCCCAGGATTCCGGATCACCCAGGTCTGACTCTCATCAGACTGGGTGCTGTCTTAGGAACCTGTTCACAGGGTTTTAGAAGTAGAGCAGGACTAAAGTTGGTCTCCCTTAGAAAATTAGGAGAGGACAGCGATAGAAGTTGCAGCTTACCTGTAAAGTAGTGAATTTGAAAGACTGTCTACCATTATATGTAGTAGGACAGAAAAACTGTCTAAGGACAGAAAAATTGTCATAAAATGATCAAAAATTGGCCACTACAGAGCTCCCTTCCATTTAAGCCTAAATCTTTTTAGGGTAGACCCAGGTTCTCAAGTTGAATTCCCAGTGGGCCCAACATATAGTTTGCACTTGGCTATTTAAAGTGGAAGATATACAGTTGGTAAGGGAAATCTTGCTTTTGGGGTGAAGTTTCTAATTGGGAGTGGTGGTAAGAACCTCTGGTTCTGAACCATCGATGGTAGTCTGTACTAATGTAAGAATTGCTCCGACTTTTTTTTCCTTCTGTCAAACCTAGACATCCACGCTGTTCGCCCTCATCGTGGGCAAATTGAAGTTGCTTTTCGGTTTCGATCCCTCTTGGACTCAGACCACCACCCATCTGAAATAGCAGGTCTGGGCATGTTTCTGCAAGTGGGCTGATTCAGTTTTGTGTTTTGTGGGGAAAAAAAATTGATAACCTGTCCCTTGCCATAACCTTCCACAGAAAGTCACAGGTTCTGTGATCGTGTTCAGGATGCATATACCTTGCGCTGCTGTCCACAGGTAAACAAACAAAAAAATCTTTGCTTTTTTCCAACTCGGGGAGGGGGGAACAGAAAAAGAGGAACGTGTGAATAAGTAATGTAATGGTCAATATAATCCAAATTTCCTTATTGCCTCTTTTAAAAATGATGCATATCCTACTTCTATTTGTCCAGTTATTGCAGACTTTCTATTCTACGTGATAAGCTCTTTGTTTCCTTTGGATTTGCTTTGCTCGATTCTCTCGTACAGAAGCACAAGAGACAACTTGCTAGGTTGGTTTAGTGCCCTCACTTTTAAAAATGCTTAGGAATAACATCATCCTAACCAGTTAATGGGACTTAACTGGTTCTCTCTTTTAGGTACAACAAAAACCAGCATGCCATCGAGGTTTGCAGGAAAAGCGAATCATAATTCAAGTGCATATCGTGGTTGTACCTTATCTGCATTTAATAAGCAGATACAAACCATCACAAGTAAATCTGTGAGGCTTAACTTTAGATTAAAAAAAAATGCAAAGGACCTGAGTTGGCATGAGGCATTCAGCATTACAAATGTTACAGCTCCACTTGATGGGATGAGCACTAGGTGTTATGCTGTATGTTGGCAAATTGAACTCCAATTAAAAAAAAAAAAAAGAAGCACAAGAGAAATGTTACAGCTCATTTGTATATGGCAATTAATCAGATGAGAGATTAATATACTTCTCAAGAATGAAACAATATTTCATCTTGTGCCCGTTGCTAGTCTAGAGTGTAATCGAGAGTCCTCCCTGGAATAAATACCCTCATTTCCTTTTACTCAGCAAGTTCCATTCTAGCCAGTTGATTGAAAATGTCTATGGCAAAATATTGCTAAATTAGCCGTACAGCACAAATAAATCCCAGTTTAAAACATCCTTGCTATTCTAATATGAATATCAGAATCTACATGACAGACACCATTATTAGTGTTTTCAATGTATTCACTCATTTGATCTTATATTTTAGGTCCACGGTGTGGTGAATGACACGATAGCATTTGTGAAGAACATCATTACCACAGAACTTAATAGTGCAACAGATAATCCTGTATCTTTTGACTGCTTCCTAAGCCAGAATTATAGAATTCCAGCTGGTAATCTTTAGATCTGCTAAAGTGATTGTTTTGTATAGCATCTTCATTCTGTCACTCTGTTTCATAGACTAAATACCTGAGGTTCAGAGGTTAAGTGACTCTCTCTAGATCTGAGCTGGTAAGTGACAGAGGCAGATCTGTGAACCCGACTTCACTTCAGAGTCTAACACGCGGTGCTTTCCATATGGACCCATTAAAGGCTAAAGGGTGTCTTCCCAGCATTGGCTGAGACAGTTCATGAAAACAGTTGCCCCAAGAGCTGGGGCTGAGATTGCTGATAGAGGATGAAGACCTATGTCACAAATGTGATTGTGGGGACCCTGGGTAGCTTGGCATTTATGCAAGCCTTCCTGACTCCGGGGATACCTTAAACGGAAGGCAACTTGTTGACATTTACCAAAGTATTGCCCCAAGAGTTATGGCTTTCCTCATCTCAGGTTTTTATTTTTGGTGCGGACTTTACTCCAATCAGGGTTTCCAAATTTTATGAAGAATAGTAAGAATCCTTCCATTTCTCAAAGATGGAACCCTTCTTTTCTTCATGGTGTAGGTATTGTAGAGCCAAATTATTTTTGCTTTGGAGTGTTCTTTGATGGTATAGTTCCTAGATGTTGATGTGGTCAGTCCAGGGTCACACTGGCAAAGTCTTCACAGAGATACTTGATATTGCCTTTGAAGACCACCTAGGCCCTTAGGAATATATTTTTCCTGTCCCATGTCTGCCTCAGTTCTTTTTTTAAAATGTATTTATTCATGAGACACACACAGAGGCAGAGACATAGGCAGAGAGCGAAGCGGGCTTCCTGTGGGGAGCCTGACGCAGGACTTGATCCCAGGACCTCAGGATCACGACCTGAGCTGAAGGCAGACGCTCAACCACTGAGCCACCCAGATACCCCTGCCTCAGTTCTTAACACTGGAGAAAGTGCTGAGTTAACAACCTTGAAAGCCTTTCACAGCTTAGGTAAGCAGACAGGTTTCACAGCAAATCTTCCTGTGTAAGATTTATCACAGGATGTTTCCAGTGTGGTTTCTCTGACAAGCTTACTTCAGGATGTGTGTTTTATGTCCTCAATGTCAGATTGTTCTACAGTGAAGTCAGACCCACACTAAATGATTCTCAACTCACTTACCTCAACACCACTCTACCCCCCAAAACAGAGTAGCGCTTTCATGAAGACTATGTAAGTCTATCAGTTCTTGTAAAGGAGAGGTGTGCATTCTACACTTCCATAATTTAGACCTGAGAGGGTATTTTAAAGAATAAAAACAAAGAATTACCACTAAATTACTGGATATGAGAGAGGGATATTTCCTTACTAAATTCTTCTCCCACCACTTGCTGCAGCAAAAACTTCAGCCGAAAGTACTTTCCTTTCTCAATTAAAGATTCTTAATTATTTATGAATTTCCATAAGGTAATATTTGGGAATTTTCTTGCAATACTGGTATTAGTTGAAAGAACATTATTCTTAATTTTTCAATTGTAGATACAGAGCACCTATTAACACAGTTGCTCAATGCTTTGGATGCTAAATTCTAATTGCTATAATCTGATAACCAACAAACAAATTTGGAACTGGAGAACAATCAAACATGCTTAAGTCCTAAGTAGGTGCAGAGATTACTTGCTATAAGGGTTCAAAGAATGGAGAGAAGACTAGGGCCTGTGACTGGGGGTAGGTTGGTGGAGAAGAGCCAGCACTGGGCCTAACAGGCTCACAGTTTTATGCACAGAAAAGGTAACTCCCAACTTGACTAAGTTAATGTAATACATGCATCTCCAGCTCTTTGGAAGTCAGAATCTTTCTCACACAGAGTGAGTTCCTAGTTGATAGAAATAAATATTCTCTAGTCCAGTAGATGTAAGTCAGCTCTTTGGAAGGGTTGTTATTGCACTTGTCTGGGTGCCTATTGGTTTAAGTGAAGTGCGTGATAGAATGGAATAATCTTTGAGGGCATTAATATGCGGTGAGTCTAAGTTGCTCCTACTTAGATGGGTTTGCAACAGCCTATTGGCCACCATTTGCTATGAATGTTGCTGCAGGATCACTGAGTAGAGAGTTTGAAAGTCTTTCAAGAATTGATTGTTCCTGACAATTTGGTGGTTGCTCCTCAGCAAAGTCTTCCATTCAGCAAATTCTTCTACGGAGTGCAAGCTCACATAGTCCACTGAAGAAATAGAACTAGTGTCCTGATCTCTGTTCTTAATTTTAGATATATACTTTTTGAGGGAAAGTGCTAATCATCAAATAACTATAGTTATGGTGTTTGAGAATCTCTAATTTCAGAAAGAAAAGTTTCCTGCTCCATGTTTCTTTGGCCTCCAGTTAGGTGTACATCATTCATCTTTAAGGTTTTGGGTATTTGTTTTGTTGTTTTTGCTTTTGCATCCATTCATGTCAACAACTGCTTGTAGAGGGACTCTCCTTCCCTCCACCCATATTTGTACAAGAGCTACCAGTGTTAAAAATTAGCCTTAACCTGTTTTGCAAGATGGTTTTTGCTAGCAGAGGAGAGACTATTTCTGGAGGAAACTTCCATGGTGAATACCCAGCCAAAGTAAGCTTTTTAGAATTGCTCCTGACCCTGAAAGCATAATCCAATTTAAACCAACTGAACTGAGATGCTCTTTCTAGGCTCTAGACTATTTGGCCATTGGAATCCATGAACTTGCTGCGATTAGTGAAAGAAGAATAGAAAGGCTCTGTAATCCCTCCCTCAGTGAGCTGCCTGCCTTCCTGGTGGCTGAAGGTGGCCTGAACTCTGGGTTCATGATTGCACATTGCACAGCCGCAGCACTCGGTAAGAATACTGCCCCTTGCCCAGAACCCAAGTCTGTCCATTTCATCTGAAAGTGTCAAATTTTGTCCTTGAATTCCATCTTTGTCCCCACCTCTTTCACATCCCACCTGTCTTGGTAGAAATGCAGAAGGAAGTCTCTTTAACATTTTTTAGAAAAAAAAAAACTAAATAAAACGTAAACAAAGCTATACGAAAACACAATAATACCCTAATGACTTTGTGAATAATGAGGTTTCCACAATTTCTCTGTAGAAAGCAATTTGACATCACATAGGAACTTCACCTTTGTAGCTTTTTCCCAAATCCCAATTTGAAGACTTTCAGAAGGAAAAAAGACAAAGATATCTATAATTAATGGCAAAACTTGAACTGACCTGAATGATTAAACTCTGGATACATTCTATTAGATATACCAAACACTGAAAACATAAAGATGTGATTACAATATGCAAAAACGCAGGGTGGCTGGGTGGCTCAGGTCATGATCCTGGAGTTCAAGCCCCACATCGGGCTCCCTGCTCAGTGGGGAGTCTGCTTCTCCCTCTCTCTCGCTGGCTCCCCCTCAGCTTGTGTTTTCTCTCTCTCTCTTTCTCTCAAATAAATAAATTCTTTTAAAAAAATAATATGCAAAAATGCTCTTAAGAAGATGCCCTCCAGGAAAACTGAGCTTCAGTATAGCTGATTTCTGACTCAAAACTGTAAGTAACACATTAGAACAGGGTTCAGTACAAAGAACATGCCAAGGGCTTCATTTATATTTGCTCACTTAATGGTCACAACAATGCCAAGAGGCGTGTACTATTATTACCTCCATTGTACAGAGGAAAACCTGAAGATCTGAGACCTTAGGTGACTTACCCTGGACAACTAGTAAGTAGAACTGAATTCAAACCCAGGCATTTTTGTTCTCAAATCTGTGCTCTTACTTCAAATAATGTGGATCTCATTTTAATCAGTACTTAATTCTAAAACATGATTGCCAAATTTAACAAATAGAAATGCAGGGTGCCCGTTTAAATTTCAATTATTCAGGACATAAGTACAAAAAATCATTTGTTTTTCTCTGAAATTCAGAGTTAACTAAACATTCTGTATTTTTTCGGGCAAACCTACCCAAGAGGCAAGAGAGCATGTGGTTAAGAGCATAGACTCTAGGTCCAAATTCCAACTCTGCCATTTATCAGAGGTGTGATATGGAGCAAGTTTCCTATCACTCCCAGTTTACTCCTCTGCAAAATGGGGGGTAATAAATTTACCTAAGGGGGCTGATTTGAGGACTAGACCAATTAATGCATATAAAGCCTTAGAACTGTGCCTGGCCATGTTGTGTAAGCACAAAGTAAATATTAGTTGCTATTAGTATTACTCCTAACCCCTTCCTCACCAAAGCCTCACATGGAAACTCAATACAACCAAAAGGAATTCATTGTGTCCTCTATCCAGTATATTCTAATTGCTCACTTACCTCCTTATTAAAATACTCCTTTCAAGGGCAGTGACTTCTCACATTAACAGATCTAGATCTAGAAAACAGCAGGGACTTTGGAAAGCCTCGTTTGAATGTGTTTTCCTTCCCTAAACTGCCTATTGAAGTTGTGCACCTTGGTTTCATTAGAAGGAAATGAATAGTTTTCTTTCCCAGGGCCAAGTAACTTCTCTTTCACAACGAGCCTCACCACAGACCACTTATCCATATAAGCAGGCTTAGGGTCCTGGGACCTGGGACTTGCAGCACTTGAAACCTGGAAAGGCCTGGGCAGACCAGGATGAGCTGACCGCCTGGTCTACATCACTAGATTATCTCGGGATCCTTTATAGTACAGAGGGCAACTAAAGTATCACCCAGCCACCTTCAGGGGCAAAAATGTAGGGGAGAAAACTCTCCCCTGGTTTCTGGGGCAGAAGGAGGAGCCCTGTAATCTAGGTCCTCCTTACTTAATGTGTTGTCCTCAAGCCAAGAATCTGGCCGTCAGTTGATAGTTTGTTAGAACAGCAGAATCTCAGGCCCCACTTGAAACTCGACATTTGCATTTTGACAAGGTGGGAGTGACTCACAGATGCAATAAAGTTGGAGACACCAATCTAGGCCATCTCTAGAATTTCCCCCTCCTCCCCAAGATATGTCTGGCAGTCATGGAGTCTTTGCTCAAACCCAGTACAACCACTTGTGTCATCATTGGACAGTCTGAGTCATAAAATCTCCTTGCTCAAGATCTGTGGGTCCAGTATCCATCCTTAGATACCACCCTGAATTCTAATGCCTCCTCTGCTGATACAACCAGTCCAGTTGTTCTTGAGTACTTGGAAAAGCCCAGCATGCCTTTTTTATCTAGCCTCCCTGGCATGCTAAATGCTTCCAGTGTTTTCCACTGGGCTTTGTAATAGGGTTTGTAATAAGGTTTCTATCTGGTCTTAGCACACTCACTAGTCCTTCCTTTTCATTTTGATACAAACCCAACCTGCTTCCTCTTCCCAAAATAATTTTAGACTATCCAGTGCTTCGATAACAACCAAGAGCTTCTAGAGGGGATACTCCACAATGTTGAGCACATTGAGCAGCCAACATGGCAATTTTTCCTATTTCTAATATGAAAATGAGCATACTAGCATATTCAACTTGCATTGGCCTCTTGCAGTTTCTGAGAACAAGGCTCTGTGCCATCCCTCGTCTGTGGACTCTCTCTCCACCAGCGCTGCCACAGAGGACCATGTCTCCATGGGAGGATGGGCAGCAAGGAAGGCCCTTCGGGTCATCGAGCATGTGGAACAAGGTAAACCCGGCCAGTCTGGGATGGCAGGCCTCACTGATAAACTACAACATGTGTGATCCTCAATGTAGGATCCCTACCAACAGCATCAGCATCACCTGGGAACTTGTTAGGAGGGCAGATTCTTAGGCCCGGCCCCCGACCTGCTAACTAAATCAGAAACTCAAGGGAAGAGAACAGAACAATATGGGTTTAACAAGTCTTCCAGGTGACTCTGAGGCTCACTGAAATTTAAGAACCATACCTGCTGTCAAATAAGTGTCATGGTTGGCTTAATTTTTTAAACAATTGAAAACATATTCATAGGTGGAGAGATTAGTACCACAACCCCCCTTTATACCTAACTCTGACTCAATAGCACATTTGCTTCATTTTTTTCCTTTTCTCAAAGTATTTTTTTTTAAGATTTTATTTATTTATTCATGAGAGACACAGAGAGAGGCAGAGAGAGAGAAGCAGGCTCCATGCAGGGAGCCTGACATGGGACTCCATCCTAGGTCTCCAGGATCACGCCCTGGGCTGAAAGTGGTGCTAAACCGCTGAGCCACCTGGGCTGCCCTCAAAGTATTTTCAAGCAAATCCCATCACATTATTTTCTTCCTGCATATTTTATCCTTTAAATATGAATGCTTTTTTATCCACCATGATTCCATTATCATATCCAACAAAAAATCAAGTCTCAGTATCACCGTTGAGTACATATTCAGAATTTCCCAATTACTTCAGTGCCTTCATAGTGGCCTTGTTCAAATCTGGATTCAAGGCCCACATTTTAAATTTGGTGGTCAAGATTTTAAGCTTCTTTTCCTCCAGAACAGCCCCCTCTCCTTTTTTTTCTTCATGCCATTGACTAGTTAAAAAAACATGTCAGTCTTCTATTAGAGACTGACATTCTGGATTTATCTGTTAGCCTCCTTGTGGTGTTACTTTTAACTTTTAATCTGCATGTTATCTTTGTTCCCTGTGTTTCCTGTATGCTGCAGGAGGCTTAACAAGATTCAAATCCATACCTTTTGGTAGATAGTTTCTAGGGTGGAGCCGTGTTAGACCAACCTCTCCCTGCCTCCTTAATTACTGCTTGTTTTGTTATTTTTTTTAAGAGGAATTGCCTTCCTTTAGGCATTGTTATCTAAGCTCCTAAATTTTCCCAACTGTATTGGAAGCTGTGGGATTACAAAAGAGTATCACTACAATAATTCCCCCCTTATCCATGGAGGAGGGGGAATATTCCAAGACCCCTGGTGGATGACTAACACCATGGGTAGTACCGAGCCCTATGTATACCATGTTTTTTCCTATACGTACATACCTATAATAGTTTAATTTATAAATCAGGCACAGTAAGAGATTAGCAAGAATAACTAATCAAATAGAACAATTATAACAATATATTGAAATAAAATTTAAGTGAATGTGAACTCTCTCAAAATACCTTATTGTGCTTTACTCACCCTCTTGTGACGATGTGTGATGACAAAATGCCTACAGGGCGAGATGAAGTGAGGGGAATAGCGCAGGTATTGTGAAGTAGCATTAGGCTACTGTTGACCTCCTGATGATTCGACAGGAGGAGGAATCTGACAAATCATCAGAAGGATTACCTGCTTCCAGAATGTGGTTGACTTTGGGCCACTGAAACAGCAGAAAGCAAAACAGCAGATAAGCAAGGACTACAGTATTTTAAGACAAATGTGGGAGAGTTAAGTGCTCTTCTTATTGAGATATAATTTACATACCCTACAACCATCCATTTGCATTGTACACTTCAGTTGTTATTAGTATATTCACAGAGTTGTGCAATCACTACCACAAATCAATTTTAGAACACTTTCATCCCAAAAAGAACCCTTGTATCCTTTACCTATCACTCTCGCATTCTCACCTGGCCCCCAGGCTTAGGCACCCATTGATATACTTTCTCTCTCTCTGGATTTGCCTGTTCTGGACCCTTCACATACATGGCATACAACACATGGGCTTTTGTAATGGCTCAGTCAGCACAATGTGTTCAAGTTTCTTCCACACTGTAGCATGTGTCAGCACTTCATTTCTTTCCCTGGCTGGATAATATTCCATTGTATGGATATACCACATTTTGTTTACCCATTTTTCAGGTGAGGGATATTTGGGTTTTGTCCACTTTTTGGCTAATATAAATACTGCTGCTGTGGACATTTGTGTACAAGTTTTTGTGCAGACATATGTTTTCATTTCTCGAGAGTGGAATTGCTGGGTCATATGGTAGCTTATGATCATCTTGTTGAGGAACTGCCACACTATTTTCCAAAGTGGCTGTGCCATGTCACTTTCTTACCAGCAGTGTTTGAGAGCTGATTTGTCCGCATCCTCACCAACAATTGTTATTACCTGCCTACCATGGTGTGATCCTAATGTCCGCATTGAACATATTGCTCTGGCCAAAAGCCTAAAGAGTCACCCTTGTCAGTTCTCAGATCTTCTATCTAGTTCATCAGCAAATCAACCTTACCATCAAAAGACACAAGATCATGGCTCTGTCACCACCTTTTGATTGGTCTCCTTTGTTTTCATTACTGTTCTTCTACGGGCACCACATACAACAACCAGTGCATGGTCCTTAAAATGTCATTTTGACTACACCATGTTCCTGCTGAAAATTTGCCAGTTACTTCCTAGTGCTCAAAACAAAATCCAGCCCGCTTCCTGTAGCCTACAGCAATCACACGTGATCTAGCCTCTGGTTCTCACTGACACCTCTCTCTCCATTCCGTTCTTTACCCTGGAACTACAGTGTTATTCATGTACCTGCCAAGGATACATCCCTACCTCAGTATCTGTGTCCTCACTGGCCCCTCCACCTGCAACAACTACTCTCCCAGGACTTCACATGGTTCACTTCCTCCCTCCATCTTGGTAGCTGTGCAGATTTTATATCAGATGTCTTCCCTGTCCACCCCAGCTAAACTTCTTGAAGTTTCCAATTCCTTATATATAAGTGAGGGGATTGGACTAGAAGATGTGAAGTTTCTTCCAGGTCCAAAATGGATTCTACTACTTCATCTGCTCCCACTGTGACCTGTCTACTCACCAGAGTTTGTAGTGTGCTTCATAAATTTTAAGAAGTCAAATGTTTTTAATACTCTATTTCAGTTGACCCCTAAATGGTTTGATCAACTTGAAGCTTCTAAAGTATTTTCTTGGCAAATAATGGAATCCAAAGGTAGAGAAATTTAGGTTCCGGTATTCAAAGTTGATCCCAAGGTATCATACACTTAATAAGAGTTCTTAACTAGGAAAAAAAACCTGTATTTTATCAAGAAACCTAAAGTTGGCAAGATACCAATTTCTACAATTTCAGTGGGCTTGGGAGAACTTTGAGTTTGAAGGCTTGAAACGAACAAGATCTACCGCAACAAAAGATTCATTTGCTCATTCACTGGCTCCTTCAAACCTATGAAGGTGTATGTGCCAGGAATTTCAGGCCAAAGGAACAGCAAGACTAAAAACCAATTGACATTTACACAAAGGTAGAAATAGGACACACATGTCATCCATCTTGCTCAGATAAAGTAAGGAGAGGACTAATATATTTACCTGGATAGCACTCCCCTTCCTAACATTTTTAAAGATACAGCCAAGGGAGTAGAAAAGCAAATTTAAGATGGTAACCAAATACCAAGTTGGCTTCATTCTACCAGTAGACAGAGAACCGACCATCTCTTCATTGGCTAGAGATGGCTTTCAACTTTCATGTGAGTTATATCCCCCAAGCACAAAGGCCGGCCGTTTTAAACAGCTATACCCTCCACCTTTCTTGTTCCAGTGCTGGCCATTGAGCTTCTTGCAGCCTGCCAAGGAATAGAGTTTCTACGCCCCCTGAGAACAACCACTCCTCTAGAGAAGGTCTATGACCTCGTGCGCTCTGTTGTAAGGTAAAGTCAAATAGGTCCCTGGATGTGACATCATTGCAGAACTGTGAACCCTGGCAGCAGTTAATGTTTGGCTGATGGTTTGATGTGCTTTCTCTGTAGGCCCTGGATAAAAGATCGCTTCATGGCTCCAGACATTGAGGCAGCACACAGGCTGCTCATAGAACAGAAGGCAAGTTGGCCACTTAGCTTACTTCCTAGTTTGGGGTCATTATGGGAAAGCAGAGTGGGAGTGGGGACTGAAGAAATATTCTTATTCTCTTGTCTCCTGTCTATTCCTTGGACATGAACAGAAAAGGAACTTAAGCAACTTCCACAGCAACTAAAAAGCTATTTGATGAACTCTTAAGTGTCCCATATTACACCCAATCACTGACTATCTAGCAATTAGAAACTGAAATGATTTTAAATGGAGTTTGGGATGGGTATTCACGGGGAGAAAATGAGATGAAAGGTTCACGCATCCCCTCCACCAAGAAGATTCTCTTTTGTTCAAAAGTACATTCTCTTTCCGTGATGCTGTCCCCACCACCTCCAACTGGTCCAATGACTAACAAAGTCCCAGGTTTTTACTCCAAAGTCTGTTGGTCTGTCTGGTGCTGGGGTGTGTCCTGTCCCATCTCTCTAGGTGAGATACCACTTATTTCCTCTGGCTTCATTGACTGTAGATTTATCTGACAGGAACAGATGCCTCCTAGGCTGACTCATTTTTTAAATATATTTTTTGAGACTTTTGTCATAATTTGTTGGTATCACATTCTCTAGGACTTCTTGATTTCCCCTAGAACCATTGCTCTGCTCTTGGGGAATTATTTTTCCCTTTGATCTTCACATCTGTCATCCCTAAGTATGCCCTACATACACCCTTTGAGGGGAAGCCCCTTGCTTGCTGCCAACTTTGGTTCTCATCGAGAGGTGTATAAGAGGCTAGCCTTTTTATTAATAGAAATGTACCTGGCATATAACATTATATTTGTTATAGGAGTATAAAATAATGATTTGATATTTGTATATTTTGCAAAATTATCACCACAATAACTAGTTAACATCTGTCACCATACATAGTTATAATTTCTTTCTTCTTATGGTGAGAACTTTTAAGATCTGCTCTTAGTAACTTTCAAATATACAATACAGTATTATTAACTATAGTCACCATGTTGCATAGTCTATCCATAGGACTTAGTTATTTTATAACTAGAGGTTTGTACCTTTTGACCCCCTCTGCCCATATCACTCAAAATCAGCTGCCCATCCCTTGAAAGGCCAATATTCAAGAGATGAGCTTTGATTGGAAAATAATATGAGCATTATTCAGGTGGCCAGCCACCTGGGGTAAAGGCAGAGTCTTATCCAAAAGCCCACTTCCAAAAAAAAAGGGGACACCGGGTGGCTCAGAGGTTGAGCATCTGCCTTTGGCCCAGGGTGTGATCCTGGGGTCCTGGGATTGAGTTCCACATCGGGCTCCCTGCATGGAGCCTGCGTCTCCCTCTGCCTGTGTCTCTGCCTCTCTCTCTGTCTCTCATAGAGAAATAAATAAAATCTTTAAAATAACAACAACAACAAAAGCCCACTTCCAGGTTTCTGCCTGGCCCAGCAATATTTAAAGGGGTTTAATCAGTTAAAGGAAGACAGTGGTCAGTGACATTTCTTGATTACATGAAGACTTGATGTCACCTACAGAGTTATCCTGGTGCTTGGAGGTTGTGCAAGAAGTTCTAGTATTTTGGTGGGTGCCCACAGGGTGGGGGATGGAGGTCTGGCTTCTTGGTACCCAGAGATGGCATAAGAACGTTCTGGTTTTTTCTGCAAAAGAGGGCAAGATCTACAGATGTGCAAAGGAAAGTCATTTGTTCATGATCTTAAAAACGAAAAACACTTTGCTGAAAATCGCTGGGCTTGTCAGAAAGCCAAGGCGGCTTCAAACAGACTTGCTGGACTTTGTGGCCTGGGGAATCTCTGGTCCTGCATTCCCAAAGGCCAGAGGTCTGCTGTTATACATCTGTCGGTGGGTGCTTAGGTCGCTTCCATGTTCTTCATAACTAATGCTGCATGAATATGGGGGTGCAGGTAGCTTTCCGAGGAAGCTAGCCTTTGAAAGAATACATTTTCTAAGGTAATACAAAAGAATAGGAAATGCTCCTTGATTGTTAGCAGCAAGCTGCTAAAAAGCAACTGTAAATCAAAAACAGGACCTTAACTTGAGAAGACGTGATGCTTGAAAGGGAGCAGGTTGGTGGATGGAGGTACATAGGAGACAAGGGTATGAAGCATCGCTCCTCACACTGTAACGTGCCCATGAACCTCCTGGGGGTCTGATTCCAGGGGATGCCGATGCTGCCGGCCCACAGGTCAGACTTTGCGTAGCCAGAGTGGAAGGAATAGAGCACATGTGGCATGTAGAGCCAGCAAATGAGAAAATCCACTGCCCTATTCAAAGCTTGTCTTAGAAAACACATGGTCATACCTTGGGGCTGCTTTCCTTAACTCTGTCCACACAGAATTGTCAGTTTTGTTTGTTTATTTTACTTCAGAAGAACTGCTTTCAGCAGCTGAACACCATAAAGGTGACTTTAGAAACCTTCTGGACTTTGCATTTTAAAAGCTGTTAATGCAGCCAGAAGCTAATTGATACAGATCATGTGTCAAATGGCTTATAATAAAAGCAAGTAAACAGCTGCTACATGCCTAGTCAGCGATAGACGTTTTGATCAGATGAAGCTGATGTTTAATGGCATGTGAGGACAGTGGCGTCAACATTTTGACTCTATTTTATCCTTCTCAGGTTTGGGAGGTAGCTGCACCATATATCGAAAAATACAGAATGGAACATATTCCAGAATCCAGACCTGTTTCTCCAACAGCCTTTTCACTGGAATTTCTACATAAGAAATCCACCAAAATCCCAGAGTCTGGGGATCTTTAGAGGGCTTTGTCATGGATTAGCAAATCAGAGGGTACTTGGTTTAATAGTAAAGCACATTATGCTGAAGAAGGGACCTGAGGACTTTCCTGGGCAGATCAATTCATTGTATTATTCAGTTCTTCTAAAAACCTCCTTTGGTTAGGCTGGTGACAGCATTCTAGTCACTTCACTCCAGCACTGTGCTCTTGGTGACTTGGTTTGAGACACAGAAGCTGTTTTCAGATTATCAGAGTTTCCTTTCTTCCTTAACAATATCAACAGGCCACAGGCCACTTCACATTATTTGAACTCAGATTTTGAAATAAATTGGTAGTATTCTTTTCCAAAAACATTAGACTTTTATGAATCTCTTTTTTTTTTCTCTTTTCTTTTGGTTTGACAAGCTAAGCTCCCCACCAGATGACTTTGGCTGATTGAATTATACCATGATGTGATGTGATAAATGTTCCTTCATAGGCCTTGATAAATAACTTCTTTTAAAGTCATAATTTGTCCTGAAGCTTCTCTTTCTTCTATTTATTGCATCATACCACAGTCAATAGGTCAACAAGAGGTTTTGTGTAAAGGAGGTAAGCAATGAATATAGAGATTGCTGTTGGAGTGGCCCTTATTGATATTTATGAAATAAATATCTAAAAAAAAAATCTCAGATGCTTAAGCTAGAGTTGAGGGTTACTATTACTACTGTCTTACTATGCGTTAGTAGTCTATTCACATCCCTGTGATAACCCTGCGTTAAGAAGCCCCCTGTCCCCAAAATAAGAAATCTTATGTTCAGAGTTAACCAACCCCTTCTCTGTAACAGTAATCATTAAAAGGATGAACTATTGACAAAGGTCGATGAGGCCCTGGGACATGTTACCCAATCTGTTTTTTTCCTCAAAAAATGACAAAGGACCTTCTTGGAAGGCTTAAGTATAATCATCTGGATGAAAGATGGGTCAGATGACCTCTTGGTTTCCCAAGGCTAAGATCTGTGACTTTGCACCCCCTTTTGTGAATGCATGCAAGGCACTCCAGCGCAGGAATCTGAAACCATGACTCTAAAACTACAGTAGGCCAAAGAAAGACCAGACGCACTTGCCAGCTTGCCTGCCCAGCTCCAGCCTAAAATGGGTCCAACAGCATATTTCACAATAGGGTTTTCACTCTTTAGATGGCACTTCATCCACAGGAAAAGGTGGAGACAGAAATGAAAACTGCTGCCGACAGCAATTCAGCGATCGAAAATGTGCTGAGGAGCCTGTTTACCAAAAGGCTGGTCTTGGTGCTGTTCTTTGCTAGAATGTAAACATTCACAGATGTTGGCTAATGTTCTTAGGAACCCCAGCTGAGCCAGTAAAACCAGAGGTCTGATGGCTGCTCTCCACTCCAGGCTGGGGAGTGCCGGATTCCCATAGGCCTCTCCGGTCTCCCAGGGCACTAGATTAGTGAGTTCTCTGGACAGCTCTGTTAGAAATGGTTTATCACACGCCTCCAAGAGAATCTCAAGGCAAACATAGAAAGAATAAACTAGGGATCCCTGGGTGGCGCAGCGGTTTGGCGCCTGCCTTTGGCCTAGGGCACGATCCTGGAGACCCAGGATCGAATCCCATGTCGGGTTCCTGGTGCATGGAGCCTGCTTCTCCCTCTGCCTGTGTCTCTGCCTCTCTTTCTCTCTCTGTGTGACTATCATAAATAAATAATTAAAAAAAAAGAAAGAATAAACTACATCTTGGTTGTCTTATGTTGTCACTATATTCTTAGATTTTTCTAACAGTTTAATTGCACCTCTTTAGGGAATTAATCAAGTTAATTGAAAGCTTTAGTCAATGAATGTTAGCACGTCGCCAAGTGTCTTTAGAGAGTGTGGTTGGTTCAGTTTTCTTTCTCTTTCCCGTGGAGTAGCAGCAAGGGTTAGGGGCATCAGGATTTCCTCCCAGCAGGCTCACCTGGGCTTCTTCTCCTGCTGTCTCAGGGCAGCCAGAGGATAGGCCCCAAAGCATCAGGGCTTTTATACTTCTGCAGTGCCACACTTGCTAATGTCCTGTTGACCAAAGCTAGTCACCCTCTCAAGCACAAGTCAATCTGGGAAAGTAATAGTGGCATTGGCATGTGATCTGCGGTCCATTACTGTAACAATCTACCATGTACATAAAATAAAAATATACATATAACCTGAAAAATTCAGGACTCTTTTCATTACTACTTTATTTTTTTTAATTTTTTTTTAATTTTTATTTATTTATGATAGTCACAGAGAGAGAGAGGCGCAGAGACACAGGCAGAGGGAGAAGCAGGCTCCATGCACCGGGAGCCCGATGTGGGACTCGATCCTGGGTCTCCAGGATCACGCCCTGGGCCAAAGGCAGGCGCCAAACCGCTACGCCACCCAGGGATCCCCACTACTTTATTTTTTTTTAAAAGATTTTACTTACCCATTCATGATAGAGAGGGGGGTGGGCAGAGACACAGGCAGAGGGAGAAGCAGGCTCCACGCAGGAAGGCCGATGTGGGACTCGATCCCGGGACTCCAGGATAACACCCCGGGCCAAAGGCAGGCGTTAAACCACTGAGCCACCCAGGGATCCCCTCATTACTACTTTAAACTTGAGTCTCATTCTGGATCTGGTCACTGGATTATTATCATTTCATTAAACCTTCTGATTATCTCATGAATAGCATGATCATTTTGCATTTTGGGGGTTACTTTGGTTAAAGGTATTAATTTGTTAAATGTAAACATTAAAAACATACCAAAAATCAAAGCCAAGAAATGTGCTTCAGCCCCACAGCGTAGGCCTGGTTAGTCACAAGGTGTCACATTCCTTTTGCTTAGTGATTAGTTCAAGAAATGGCCATGATTGCAGGGCAGCCCCAGTGGCTCAGTGGTTTAGTGCCGCCTTCAGCTCAGGGTGTGATCTGAGAGACCTGGGATTGAGTCCCACGTCAGCTCCCTGTGAGCCTGCTTCTCCTTCTGCCTGTGTTTGGGCCTCTCATGAATAAATAAAAAATATATATATTTTTTTAAGATTTTATTTTATTTACTCATGAGAGATACAGAGCGGGAGAGAGAGAGGCAGAGACACAGGCAGAGGGAGGAGCAGGCTCCATGCAGGGAGCCCGACGTGGGACTCGATCCCGGATCTCCAGGATCACGCCCTGGGCTGCAGGCGGTGCTAAACTGCTGCGCCACCCGGGCTGCCCGAATAAATAAAAATCTTAAAAAAAAAAAAAAAAATGGCCGAGGTTGCAATGTGGGCCAATGAAACAGAGATGAATTTTATTGGAGGCTTTGAGGAAATGTTTTTTCTCCTGAGAGCCACAGTAGCCAGGCTTTCTCATTCACCTATTTGACAATAAGGAGGAGGCACAGAGCACCTAGGGCTGTTGACAGCCAGCCCAACCCATTGGGGAATTTGGCCTTGGGGCGATGCCAACACTGGATGACAAACCAGAGGGAAGGGAGGAATCTGAGTCTTCAGTATTATTGAGCTACTGGAAAAAACAGTCCTGAAGCCTGTCCTTCTGATGAATTTCCAAGGGTGATCTGATATACCTCCTTATTTTTACAAGTCCGTTTTAGTCAGATTTTGAAATCTGTTAGCATCCACAGCTGTTTCTGAGGTACTGTACTGGGCTATATGGTACATCAATATTGCATGTAGTCCTGTATTCAAAGACTTTCCATCTAGTTGGGAACATGCAATGGCCATTACTGTGCCAAGTGTGTGTCCTAGAGAAAAGCACAGTATAACCACAGCACCTCTGAGTCATCAGAGAGGCTTCCTAGAAGAAGTGATTTGAGCTGGTTTTTGAGTGATGGCAGTCAGAGGGATAAGGTAGGAAAAAGGAGAAATATGAGCCAAATGTCAGTGTCAGAAGACATCTATGCCAGGAAACCAATTCAATGTTTGGTCTATTTCTATCATTAACCAAACGGTGACCAAGATGGCCCTGGTCTTTGCCCTCACAGCTTATAGCCTAGGTAGGCAGGGGGGCCAGAGGATTAAACAAACAGTAGCAATGTGCAAACAATAAGATGGCAAGGTTGGGAGGCCAGATCAAGAGCGTGAGAACTCATGCTAATGGTGCAGTAGGGGAAACAAAACAAAACTCAACCAGCACAGAACACCTCAGATCTCGAGGGTTGCCATGGCTCATTGGTGGTTTCTACCATCTGGGTGCCAGGTTCCTGATGTCTGAAGCAACTGCAGTAGAACCACTTGGAAAATATCTGCCCTCACATTTCAGAATAACTTTCCACCGCATAAAAATCTAAGAAGCTACCATTGACTTTATCCTTTCACTGCTCACTGTAATAAAGATCAAGACACTCATGCTTTCGGAGATATCTGGCAAAACCAATTTAAATTTTAAAAGTATGTATTTCACCAGAGTTCCGTTTAGGAGAACCAGCTCTCAACACACTCTGGCTTTGACTCTTTGATGTCAGTCTTACCAGCCTAATTGGATTGTGAATTCCCTGAAAGCAGGCCTCATTCTAGAACCAGAATTTCAGAGATGGAGGGAATCCAGCCTCTACAGATAAAGAGTTCAAGAAGAAATCAAAGCCTAGATGTCAAGCCCCTGATGTGCATTTCCTCCAGCATAGCACGTTGCCTCGCCTTTCTCCCATGGCATCTGGTGTGTGTGCCCTCAATTCAGTAAGGGTGATATTGCACACAATAAGGCAAAAATTGGCTCTCGGGTTGTAGAAGAACTTGCATATTGTGATGATTTGGGGTCTTCTAAAGCTCTACCCTATCTGACAAAATCTTATTCCTTAGGGAGAAATTTAATTTTTCTCCAGGGGGCTGATGGCCTGATAACTTTAAAAGATTGACAAAAGAAACATTGACCTAGCCCAATGTGGAACACAGAGTAGGAGTTTTCCCATCTCACTGCCCATCGTGAAAGCTTTCCACCTGAACCTCTAGCACCTGATACCTCCCACTCTCTCCCCTCAAGGACTAGTTCAAGGTATCTTGCCAGAGTATGCTCATACAACAAATGTTTGAATACCTACTGTGTACACTAAAACCAGATTAATTTTTTCCTACAATAGTCTTCTCCTGGTCCTAACTGGTTTCAAAAATTTCAGTGGCTTTTCCTGACCCTAAGAATGAGGTTCCTACTAGTGATGTTCCAAAGCCCTGTGAATTCTGAGCTGGCCCTAGATCCCCAAGGAGCTAGGAGAGCTCATCGCCTGTCTTCTAAACACTTCATAATGTTTCATCTTGGAGCTTTTCTCTCTCATCAAAATCCTTCCAGACCCCAAAGCTAAGAATGGTAGCTGCCTCTCCACTCAACCATGGAACTGTCTTTGGTTTTACTTTTACAATTTACTCCCCCATAAGCATCATTCTTTGGCATTATATTAAGGAATTCATATGCTCTTTCCAATCCACAAAACAAGTATTTTCCTTAACATGAATTCCTGGGTTGGCATACTTAGTATGTTTTAATTAAGTAATTTTCACTGTGACTATCAGTGAATTTTTATCAGCATAAAAATTCATTTATTGATCACCTGCTATGAACCAGTCACCATACTAGATCCAGGGCATGAGGTGGTGGTTACCCTCTACTACCTTACATTCTAAAGGGAAAGAGTTAAATCACAGTGCTATTAAGGCTAGCATGGACAATGGGTGTGCAGTAGGGGTGGGGAGAGACTAGCTCTGATTTCCCACATAGAGAAGAGCAGGAAAACCATCTAGGCTAAAGGAAGAGTGCTGCAAGACCTGGAACAGCAAAAACAAACTGTTTTGAGGCACAGTGTGAAAGCCAGTATGGCTAGGGTCTACGCTGCAGTACTTCTCAGACTTTAACAGGTGTACAATACCCCAGCGGCTGGTTAAGACACAGATTCTGATTCAGCAGGTCTGGGGTGGGGCCATGGTTCTCATTTCCAGCAAGCTCCCAATTTACAAGGGGTTACAGGACACTGGCCTGGGAGGACTAAGGCAGTTCTGGATGGGTATCCTCTTCTGCTTTCACTTAGAAAAGACATTAATGCTATTTGTTTAAAATGAATGTCTCCTAGAGAGAGTAGGGTGCACTTTACCTTCTTATTCCATAGGTATCAAGATAGACTTCTGTTTAAACATACCTAGTATTTAATTTTAGCCTTTATATCTATTGTCTGCATCCCAAATTCCTACTGTTGAGTAGGTGTTTGGTTACAGGGGAGGCATCACCCATGGTGACCATGCCGCTCCCACATTCCCTCAAGACTCCCCCAAGTATATGAGGGACAATGCTCCAATGATCCCAAGCTACTAGGTAATGACAGCATTGTGTATTGTTACCCATAACCTCCCAACAAGGAATATTTTGATTTTATTTAAATGGAATACAGTAAAGGCTCATTGATTCAGGCTTTATTAATGTGTAATGGGTGATAATTTGATTAATCTTTACTTCTCAAATTATTAATAGGATAAAGTTTAATAATGCAGTTGTGATTATAAGGATGTCTAAACATTTAAAAAGATTTCAAGTAAACTCATATGGTTTTAGAAACACCTATTTATATTGTTCATTTCCTAAAAAACTATAATGGGTAATACTACTGGTCTACTTACAGGGCTAGAAACAACAATAATAATGACAACAAATATTTATTAAGAACTATAAAAATTTTGTTTTTATTTGTAATGTGAATAATCAAAAAATTAAAAATGATTTTTGAAAATTACATTATTGGATTTGGTCCAAATGCATCCATTCTAGGAAGGCCCCTGTACCCACATGTAAAATGAGTCTTGAACTGTGCTGTGAAGCTCTATTGTTAGAGCAGAGAAGAGATTAGGAATAGAAGGACACCCTCTCTCAGGGGACACTCATGCATTCAAAGAGCTTTTAGAGAGACAATGTGTGGAGAAAGGACGATCTAGCTGCTTATCATAGAAGGCTACATTTGCTTAGTTTGGGGCATATCACTTGGATTTCTCACCATACCCTAATTTTCACAAAATGTAGTTTAAAGACTGAAATTTGAAAAGCAGAAACAAAATGGCAATTTCAAGCCATGTCTACCTAACTGCCAATCTGCTTTTCCCCAAAGAAGGCATTTGACGATACTCTATCATATTAATCTCCAAAATATTTGTAACAAATCTCTGTGAAGTGAT